AATTTTTATAAGCCTAAATAAAACATTTTCAGAATTTTACTTGAGAACATAACTATTTTAATCAGATTTTATGTTTGAAGTAGCTATAGATCATTCCTGATTAAGATGTTTTAATAATGACCTTTTCTAATCTCTTCAAATTCATGGTGTTGAAAACCCAATGAAAATATTTGTCCAGATAAATTACCAAAATAATTTTACAATGTTTTAAAAACAATTCAAACTGTTGATATTATATAGGAAGCATCTAAAGCTCTTCCTTAATTTCACTAAGAAAATGTAATTTGAAATTTCTTGTGATAGGGCATGGTAGCTCTGTAACGTGCCCACTTGGCTAGTTGGACTGTGTCTCCCAGAAGCCCTTTCCCTATGTGTTTTCAGTCAGGATGGGCTTCAGCAGGCATTTTTGCATGAGATTTGGAGGGTAGAAGTGAAGCAGAAGCCATTCTGTTTTGTATGCTGGGAAGGTTGGAGCAGGGGTGTTTTAAGGCTCACATGTGTTGCTTTATCTTTCGGCTCATCTCATTTGCTTAGGGTAGCATCTGGACCTTGAACTGCTGCACCTTCCCCTGAATCTTCCTTTGCCTTCTCCAATTCCTGAGCCAAGTGTGTGTTTATGTGTTTAGCTCTGGGACAAAGGGCATTAGCATCTCCTGCAGGACACTCACTTCATCAAGGCTGGAGACAGCAAGAACTGACACTGGTTGCAGGCCATCCTTGTAGGTTACATCTTGACCTTAATCTCTCCTATTTATATGCACCTTGCTTGCTCTTGGGTTTCAAATCCAGCACTAGACACAAAAATAATAGCTTATTGGTGGCAGAGGCCGGGGAGGCTTTGGGGGGCGAGGCGGCTTCCGAGGAGGCAGAGGAGGAGGAGGTGACCACAAGCCACAAGGAAAGAAGAAGAAGTTTGAATAGCTTCTGTCCCTCTGCTTTCCCTTTTCCATTTGAAAGAAAGGACTCTGGGGTTTTTACTGTTACCTGATCAAGGACAGAGCCTTCTGAGGACATTCCAAGACAGTATACAGTCCTGTGGTCTCCTTGGAAATCCGTCTAGTTAACATTTCAAGGGCAATACCTTGTTGGTTTTGACTGGATATTCATATAAACTTTTTAAAGAGTTGAGTGATAGAGCTAACCCTTATCTGTAAGTTTTGAATTTATATTGTTTCATCCCATGTACAAAACCATTTTTTCCTACAAAAAAAAATAATAATAATAGCTTAATAGAAACTGTTCAACCACGGCAAAGTGCGGTGGCTCACACCTGTAATCTCAGCGCTTTTGGAGGCCGAGGTAGGTGAATCTTGACCGAGGTGGTCAAGAGTTCGAGACCAGCCTGGCTAACATGGTGAAACCCTGTCTCTTTACTAAAAATACAAAAAATTAGCTGGGCCTGGTGGTGGGCGCCTATAGTCCCAGCTACTCAGGAGGCTGAGGCAAGATAATCGCTTGAACCTCGGAGGCAGAGGTTGCAGTGAGCAGAGATTGCACCATTGCACTCTATTTAGCCTGGGGAACAAGGGCAAAACTCCGTCTCAAAAAAAAAAAGAAAAAAAAAAAAAAGAGAGAGACTGTTTAATCAGCTTCCATAGTTGCATAAGGTGAAATCCTTGTCTGTCTGTCTATCTATCTATCTATCTATCTATCTATCTATCTATCTATCTATCATCTATTAATCATCTATCTTTTTCTCTATCTAGCTGTCTATTTGTATGTCTGGCCATCTTATCCCCAAAAAGTTCTTCTTCTCTGTCTGAACCCTGACTTATACGTAGGACAAATAAATTTCAAATCCAAATAAAATTTCACATACCAGGTATTTTAAAATTCTACTAAAATTCTACTATTAGAACAGTTACCTCTAGCTTGCAGGCCATTCAAGTGCATATTAGTCACAAACAGACAAAAGCATCAATGGTGGATTAAAGACAACTGCAAATTCTTTGATATTTCTCCCATTTAGAGGTGGGGTCTACTTTCCCTTTTCTTGAATCTAGGCTGGCCTGTGACTGCTTTGGCCAATTGAATAGGGAAGAGTGATGCTGTGCTGTTTCCAGGCCTGTTCTTTAAAAGGACTTGGAAGCGTCTGCCTTGGCCTCTTGGTGCCGGAGTTGCTGTATAAGAATCTGACTACCTTGCTGGAGAGACCTTGTGGAGAAGACTTGACCTTATATGCAGAGGTAGAGGAGCCCTGGTTAGTCCAGCCATCTAGCCATCCTGTCAAAATAGCAGGTATGTGAGAAAAGCTGTCTTGATTCCTCCAGCCCAGCCCAGCCACCAACTGAATAATACCAACTATATGTACCTCAAATGGAGCAAAAGAACTGCTCAGCTAAGTCCTGCCCAATGTCCTGACTCAGAAGATAATGAGAGATAATGAAATCATTGTTGTTTTAAGCCACTGTGTTTTGAGGTAGTTTATTACACAGCAATGGATAACAGAACATTATTTAATATATACATACGTAAAGACAGGTATTTGGGACCAATGCCTGGATTAGCACTTACCAGGAGTCCCCTTTCCCCATCTCTCCACCCCATGCTGCAGTTTGGGTTGTATTCCTTGCTCAGTCGCCTGGAGCATCCATTCCCCTGGAGCTCCACGAGCCCTTTGGACTCAGAGAGCAGGGGTTTGCTCTGCAGTGCCTGCTGAAGTACATCTCCAGGAAGTAGAGCACCTTGGCTATGCACAGTGCATCTGGCAGAGCAGTGAGGGCTCCATTTTGCTCATTGCACTCAAGATCTCCAGGGACTGTGGGGTCCCCTGTCAGACCTTGCTCTGCTCCATCCTCTCTACAAGGAGCCTTGGATAAGGCTTCTAACATCCCGGAGGCTCCAGGCAGCCAGGCCCTGCCAGACTGCCCTGAGGGCCAAAGGGATTAATATCTCACAGCACATCTGTAAGTGATTCTTGGCATTCCAGGGAGTCTGGCACAACTGTGAGCAGCTCTGAATTAAATCAAGCTTCTTAATTTGTGCAGCTCAATTTTTTTTTTTTTTTTTGTATTTTTGAGACGGAGTCTCGGTCTGTCGCCCAGGCTGGAGGGCAGTGGCATGATCTTGGCTCACTGCAAGCTCCGCCTCCCGAGTTCACCCCATTCTCCTGCCTCAGTCTCCCGAGTAGCTGGAACTACAGGCGCCCGCCACCACGCCTGGCTCATTTTTTGTATTTTTAGTAGAGATGGGGTTTCACTGTGGTCTCGATTGCCTGACCTCGTGATCCGCCTGCCTCGGCCTCCCAAAGTGCTGGGATTACAGGCATGAGCCACTGCGCCCGGCCAGCTCAAATTTTTAAAATTCTTACTAATTTTTTATTTGCTAGATCACCCCCTTTCTGTCTTGTCTTTTATTATCTATTTAATCCTATCCTTTTTTGAAATCCTAACTTAGTCATTATTGTTATGCTAATCAGCTGCCTTTGCTTTCAGATCCATTTCCTGCCCTTGTCTTACTCTACTCTGTATTACAGCCAACCACATTTCCAGGCTCCCTTGTCCTCTGCTATCTAGGTGAGTTTTGTCAGTGGAAGACATTGGTGGAAGGCTGGATGCTTCTTCTAGCATCTCTGGTGGTGTCTGTGTCTCCTCCATGACTTCAGCTCCCACTGGGTGTCACTCACTTCGTGGTTTTAGTGCTTGCCCAATGGCCTGACTTCTGAGCCCTGCTTCTGCAGCCCAGGAGAGTAGCAGCAGCCTGCTGCTTCAGTGTCTGGGTTGTCACTCTATTCCTGTTTGACTTCTCTGTGCTTCTATGACCCATGTAAGTCATTAAATTCCCTCTGTCAGAAAGACTTAGGTTCCTGTTTCATGACTGGATGCTGACTGATAATGTTATTATTATTGTAACTATTATCGTTGTTATTGTTTCTATTATTTTATACTGTCAATGCCTGTTTAAATTTACCCATGTGTTTTCAAATTACTTTGATCACCTTGCATTTTGCATTCCACTTCTTTACTTTTGGTTAAAGTTTTCTTCTTTTTGCAACATATCCTTATTATTTATTTCTGTAAGGGTGTGTGTTTTAGATAACTTACAGATTCAAAATTTTAAAATATGACTTTTTGTCATTTACTTAAGATCTGTATGCAAGAAGGAATGAAAAAGATGAACAGGTAGAGGCAAGGACTACCTACCACAACTCAGGTCGATATTAATTTTATGATTCAATTAATTCCATAAATTCTCTTTTCTATATGAATACAAGGTTCCTCCCTCTGTGTACTCACACATCTACCTCTTCTAGAAGTTGCCTTGGTATCCACAAAGAAGTTGAGGTGGTCCAGTACTCATAAGCCAACAAACTTCAAAGGAGAGTCAAATGTACATTTTCAAAACAAGAGTATTGAAGAGTTGAAATAAACACACGAAAAGAGATTCAAATGTACATCTTAAAAGGAGGAGGAGATACGTTGAAGAAGTAGGGGAATGTGACGTTGAAAGTCTCTGAAGAGGTTATGATAGTAGTTTAAGGGAGTAGAACATTAAAACATTTTTGTCTGTTCAATCGTAATTTTTAAAAATGATAGCATAGAGTTTGGCCAATTATGGAGGGGCAGATTTCATCATTGTCAATGAGCAGTAAGCTTCCTTGGTTTTTTATTTGGGAAGTGTATTTATTTTACTTTCACTTTTGAATGAGATTTAGCTGATGCAATGAACTGAATTGTGTTCCTCCAGAATTTGTATGTTGAAGCTCTAATGGCAAATGTTACAGTATTTGGAGACAGGGCCTTTAAAGAGATAATTAAGGTTAACTAAGGTCATAAGGATAGAGACTAACCCAATGTCACTGTCCTTATAAGAAGAGAAACCTGGATGGCACCGTGGCTCACGCCTGTAATCCCAGCGCTTTGGGAGGCCGAGGCGGGCGGATCACGAGGTCAGGAGATCGAGAACGTACTGGCTAGCACAGTGAAACCCCGTCTCTACTAAAAATACAAAAAATTGGACGGGCGTGCTGGTGGGCACCTGTAGTCCCAGCTGCTGGGAAGGCTGAGGCGGGAGAATGGCGTGGGCACGGGAGGCGGAGCTTGCAGTGAGCCGAGATCGCTCCACTGCACTCCAGTCTGGGCGACAGAGAGAGACTCCGTCTTAAAAAAAAAAAAAAAAAAAAAAAGACACCCAGGATGCGTTTGCACAGAGAAAAGGCCACAGGAAGATACTGCAAGAAGAGGGTGCTCTGCAAGTCAAGGAGAAACCAAACCTAACACTTTGATCTTTGACTTCTGGGCTCCATAACTGTGAAAAATAAGCTTCTGTAGTTTAAGCCACCTAGTTTGAGGTATTTTGTTATGGCAGCCCTAGAAAACTAAATACAGCTGGGTATAGAATTCTAGGTTGATGATTTTGCTTTTATGGTATTTTTATAGTATTTTGAGATGTGTGTCTTCGAAGTTCTGCAGTTGCATTATGTTGTGGCTTGCTTTGGATTTGTTTCGTTTAAGCTTTATTTATCCTTCCTGGAATTCATTACAATTTTTGAACTTCACGATTCAAGTGTTTTAATCATGGATGAAAACATTTCAACCATTATCTCTTCAAGTATTGCCCCCGTCTTATTTTCCTCTATTTCGCATTCTTGGAATTAAATCTGTTGGTCCTTCTCATTGCGTCTTCCATGTCCCTTAAGCTTCCATATTTTCCAGATCTTTATATCTCTGTGCCTATTGAGTAATGTCCTAAAATCTGTTTTCCAGTTTATAAATTCTCTTGCTGTATCTACTCATTTAAGTTTTTAATTTCCTTGACATATACCTATGTGAATGGGTGGGTTTTTACTTAGACTACCTTTTCATGTAGAATATGTTGACTACCTTTTCATGTAGAACATAGCTTCTATGCAAGGTTCTCAATTCCAATTTCCTGCCCACTTGGGCCAAATGCTTACTTCATGTTTCTACATGAGCATGAAATCCCAAGCCCTTGGGTGAACAGAATCAATAATCACCGGTCCGGCACGGTGACTCACGCCTGTAATCTCAGCACTTTGGGAGGCTGAGACCAGCCTGGCCAACATGGTGAAATCTTGTCTCTACTAAAAATCCAGAAAAAATAAAAAGTAAATAAATAAAATTAGCCCAGAGTGGTGGCATGCGCCTGTAATCCCAGCTACTTGCGAGGCTGAGGCAAGAGAATCGCTTGAACCCAGCAGGTGGAGGTTGCAGTGAGCTGAGATCGCTCCACTGCACTCCAACCTCGGTGACAAAGCGAGAGTCCATCTCAAAAAAATAACAATAAATAATAATAATCACCCCTCCACCTCCACAGCACAGCTACATCATGAACTGACACCTTGAAACTTTGTTCTGTTTTCAATTATCTCTTGGTTTCTGATGCCTGGGCATTTCTTTTTCTTTCTTGAGAACTTAAGCATGAATATAAAACATTTCAAATTTTATATTTTATCCAGTATTTCTAGTTTTTTAATAGTGAGATTTATCTTATTCTCTCATTTTATTAGAACAGAAAGTCTTGAGTAACATTTCAAAACTGAGAAAAAAAGTCTCATTATTAGTTTTAGAAAAAGCGAGACAATCTGTGTTGTTCTGGCACCAAGACGAAGTTCTAGAAGATTCTCTCTTGATCCTTAAACAGCATAGAAAAACCAGGTAAGTTGACTACGTTCATGTTTAGGCGTATGATGGCCAGTGGATCCAAAACCTACCCTATATCTACATCTTGGTAGCCACATTAATCTGACATCTGACAGCAAGAGTAATGATTGGGTTCACTGGAAATCTTTGTGAAGTACAAGTGAAGTCCTTGTGAAGTCAGAGTGAGTGTCAGAACTTTGAGTTCTAGTTGTGGCTCTAGACTGATTCAAAAGGTCAGGGCCTAATCAATTTACTCGTTAACTTATAATCATAATTAATTAGATTTTATTAATATGAGAATAAAAGAATTGTCCAGCACCTACTAAGCCAAATCCTAGTGATATGGAGAAGCAGATAAAAGTTGCTGCTCTCAAAGAACACAGTTCAGTAGTAGGAGACTGGCTTGGAATCATCTATCCTACAAGTGAAATTTTGATGGATTTTTGTTGAGGTGCAAAGGCTGGAGCGGTCAGTTGAATCTTGCAGGGGGTACTATAATCAGAAAGTTCCAAGAGTAGTAAATGAGAATTCTGGAGGCCTAAGATCTTGCAATCAGATTTGTAGAAGGATATTTAAGGTGTGCAGGCTCCTCCATGAGTAGCCCCAATGCCTTGGGTAGAATGGATACAAAGGTACGGACTTTTTGCATCCTTCACAGGATATCAGGAGGCTTAGAGCAATATCTGCAAAATGTTGGCAATTGCTGAAATGCAGCCCTACAGCATCCATGGGGTCTTGCCCTTCTTCAACCATTCAGTAAATAGCACTCAGTAGAAATTCTGGCTGAGGATACTTGTTTTCAAAACAACAGCCCTGAGCCAACCTTCTTAAGTAGTTCCATATGCTTTTATGGAGAGTTTATGGATTGTGGCCTTTGGAATTCTTTTGTTTATCACTGGGAATTCAAGTCCTGAAAGCTGCTAACTAACCATGAGGTCCGCTGGTTATACAAGCTGTTGGACCTCTTAAGGACTTTGACATAAGGACCACTTTCTGTGAAATAAGAATTAGTGGTTTAAAAAGAGTGTACTTAACAGTATCATGTAAGTATCAGATTCTGTATGTCATTACTAGCCAGGGTTTTTTTTAAAAAACTGGACTGTGCTGCCTTGTGTGTACATTTAAATGAGGCCCTTAAAGGGAAATCTGAGCAATGTCTTCAAACAAAGACTTATAATCAGAGGGGTCTTTTTTTTTAAAAAAAAAATGAATAACTATCTTCAGCAGACCTAAAATCAGGATGGAAAGGTGGGTACTTCCCCACCTGGGCCCCAAAGCAGGGCCCTTCAAAATACTGAAGGTCCAGCATTCCCCGGGCAATTCTTCCTCTGTCTCTGTCCTCCCCACCGCCGTCAATGCCCAGCTTGCAGTGATATTCTTTTACCCTTTACTAATCTAATGCCAAACACATGTAGGTTCTATCCTGTTTCCAGGAAAGAGGTTTCCATGAATTGCCTCATCAGCCTTACTAATAGCTACAATATATGGAGCACTTTGTGCTCAGCACTCGATTCCTTTTATACTTGATGTCTTTTCATCCTTTCTTCACAATAGCCCCATGAGGTGGGTGCTATAATTATTTCTCATTTTACAGATAAGGAAACCAAAGCTCAGAGAGTCTGAGCAATTTGCTTAAAGTTACTTAACAGCTATATTAGCCTACTACTTATAATTCGACTACCTGTGTCCAAGGCTACATAAATTCAGGTCACCCGACTCAAAGCTCTTAGTCAACATGCTAGCCTCCTTCTCACTCTCTCATAGGAAAAATCTATATGTTTCTTATGAGATCTAGCTTGATCTCTAAGTCTCCATTCCAGCTTGGAAGAACTATGGTTCTTCTGCAATGTCAGTTGTGTTGCTGTTCATGCTGTTTTCATGTAAAACAACGTGAGAAAGAGGCTGATAATCTCCCTCCATGAAACAGTTCTTCACACATTTAAAATCATCCGTGGCTGATCATAAATGCTTCTCCAGAGAGTGAACGGTCATGGCTGGTGCGGAAGGGTAACACTCTGCAAAGGCGGATGTGAGACCTGGCAGCTCTGTCTGTGTACATATAGCTTAGGGCTGACAAGTGAGTCAGCAGAAGTGAGCAGACAATACTGCATTGAGTTTTAACATGATGAGTCAGCCTTGCTATCTGGCCAGCTTCAGTGCAACCCCCTGAAGTTTTAACAGAATATTAATTGCCTTTTCACTTCCCGTTCCACACAGCTGGGTGGGATTGCTACCAGCCACACTGTTGAGAAGTTACACATTTTAGCCCAGCCTAGAAAGGTTTCCTGTGGTGGGTGAAATGACAACATGCACAAAGGTCAAACTCCAGATGTGGGAATCTGACCTTTCCTCCTCTTGGGGAAAACATTGCCTCATTATAATCTCAAAAGATTTTTGTACAGGTTTAAGGCTAGAGTCTACTGAAAGATCCAAACTCCTCTAACATAGAGGATGCCAGCCTGTTTCATGTAAATTTATCCAAGACTTTGAGACCACCTACAAAATTCCTGAGCCAAGGGACCAGAGGATGTAGGTGAATGTTTAGGCATTTCTGAAGCAGGGAGCTAGACCTAGAAGTTGCTGCTTGCTCCTAGAAGTTGGAAGGCATTTCAAGATGAGGAATGAGTTGTTTCTGGATTGATGCCTTCACTGGCTAGAAATGCCAGTGGGTGGTGGGAAGAGTACATGGCAGGATGAGAAGGAGTTTCACATTAAGTCATTCATTTATTCATCTGTGTATTCATTTTATAAAAATTCATATCAGATTTGCAAAATTCACTCACAATACACTCAGAGATGATAAAAAATGTAACTTAATTCTTTTTATTAACTGGTGGAATATTTCTTTCAAATTTCCACCACTGGACCCCAGAGTGGGAATTAAATTTTAGCCCAATCTCGTAAACTTAGTTCCAATGTAATTATTCAGGTTGAGCTAAAAGTTTCTTTTCATCTTTCAGGTTTCCTCTCCATGCCTCTACTCCTATGCAATTTGACCTCTGAGTATGCAGCTGGTGATAGATGGAAACCCTTGTTCATAAACTTTGTGGCACTATTGGCAGGAATGAGGGGACTTCTGGATCCTCACTGGTCACTGTGGCAGAGTGGCTGGTGTTGTCTGCTCCCTAGACAGGAACCCACTGAAGAATCTGACATTTTTTGATATGCTGGCATTCATTGTTACAACCCGTCACCATCCCAGCCATCAATCCAGGCCATGGGGTCCATGTCCATGGTGGGAAGGAGGAGGAGGAAGCTGGCTTTGTTCTGACCTTGGGCTTCTGCTGCTCCACCAGTACTTTCTGTGGGGGAAATAGGTAAGGAAATGGCTGTTCAGAGGAGAAGATGTATCAGTAAACTTTTGCTACAGTGATGCTGCAAAACAAACCATCAGTGACTTTCAGTGGTACATAGCAATAAACATTTATTTAGCTCAGTGATTGACAATCTTTTTTTTTGAAAAGGGCCAAATAGTGAATATTTTAGATGTTTCAGGCCATACAGTCTCTGAACTCTGGCCTTGTAGCACAATAGTAGCCTTAGATGCTATGCAAATGGAGGAGCATGACTGTGTTCCAATAAAACTTTATTTATGGACACTAAAATTGGAATTTCATGGAATTTTTATATGTTAAGAAATATTACTCTTTGATTTTTTTCAACCACGAAGTTGAATGGTCTGTGAGTTTTTTTCACAAGTCATACAAAAACAGATGGTGGGCCAGACTTGGCCCATGGTCATAGTTGGCTGAACCTTGATTTAGCTCATGAATCTGTTCTGGGTTGGGCTCGGCTGCTCTGCGCTGCACTCATCTGCAGTCAGCTGTGAGTTGGCTAGGCAGCTCTGCTGGTGGTGCCAGGGCTCATTCACATGTATGGAGATTGTTTGCCATTGGCTGATCCACAGTAGCCTTGGCTGGGATGGCTGTGGCACGTCGGCTCTGCCGTGTGAGTAGCCAGCAGGTCAGCTTGAGGATGCTCTCTTAGAGGTGGAGACACGTGAGTCTAAGTGGAAATGTGCAAGCACTTTCAGAATTGCCTGAATTATGTTTGCCAACATCTCACGAGACAAAATCGGTCACCAGACTAAAGTCACAGTTGGGTGATTTGGGGCAGAATGCCCCTCCCAGAGTGAGAGGGCACTGCCAAGGTACATGGCAAAAGTGATGGATGTTCTGGAGCCATTAAGACACTCAACCCACCAAACGACCTAAATTGGGGATAATTTTTGTTTGTTTGTTTGTTTGAGATAGGGTTTTACTCTGTCACCCAGGATGGAGTGCAGTGGTATGAACATGACTCACTGCAGCCTCAACCTCCCAGGTTCAAGTGATCCTCCTGCTTTAGCCTCCCAAAGTGCTGGGATTATCAGCATGAGCCACCACACCCAGCCAGTTATTTTATATTTTACTTTTTGTTTTCTTAGAGATAAGGTCTTTACTCTGTCACCTGGACAGGAGTGTAGCAGCACCATATTAGCTCACTGCAGCCTCAAAATTCAGGACTCAAGTGATCTTCCTGCCTCACCCTCTTCAGTAGCTGGGACTACAGGTATGTGCTACCACACCAGCTCAGTTTTTAAGTGTTTTGTAGAGTTGGGGGTCTCACTGTTTGCCCAGGCTGATCTCAAATTCCTGGGCTCCAGTGATCCTCCCACCTCAACCTCCCACAGTGCTAGGATTACAGATGTTAGCCACCTTACCCAGCCGAAAATTTAAAAAATATTCTACTTGTGATCCTTTCTCATGGTGTGATGCTAGACCGGCTGCGGTATGATTGTGAAACATGTAAGTGGGGAACACAGACATGGTGGAACAAACAAGTGTGATCAGAGAGAAGGAGGTGTGTGTGCAAAGGCACAGAGGCAAGAAAGAGCTCTTTGGTGAGACAGTGCTAGGTGGAGTGAGTATAACGATTGGAGAGGAGAGTAGGGAAAAGCGGGCAGACCTCAGAGTGGATCTTATAAAACTCAGTAATATTTTGGATGCAGTGAGCTAGGTAGTGTCCAAAGAAGCAGCCATTTGAGAGTGAGCAAAAATGATCCTGGTTTAAACACCTTAGCAGTAGTGTGGCCCTGTGGTGGAGATGTGCAGGGCACTGGGCTGTCCGCCTCCTTTGTCTGTGTGGTGAAGGAAGGGGTGAGGAAGAGCGCTCAGAGTGCACAGATGGATTCTCAATTCAGGGTGAAACAGGATTTTAGATCCAGTTTCCTGTTATAGTGGTTTTAGAGCAAAGAATCAGGGACTCTGCTATTTTCTGGTATAAAATGAGAGCAGCCATATACTTCCTATGCCCTTGAATCAAGATCAGACAATTCCAGGGAAGAGCTAAGCTTTAACCTTTGACCTCTGGGGTAAAGTTTTTCTTTCTCCCTCCCTCTTTTCCTCCTTCCTCTCTTCCTCTCCACCCCCTCTTTTTTGTTTACGTTTTGAGCTGAGTAAGAGGGGAAAATGGGGCCTGATATACTACAAACTCCAACTAGAGTCCTTGGCATCATGGAAAATTCCTCGACTTGTTTTACAAAGGTTGGCTACACCCTGAGATTCCATTGTTTCAAAGTGGAGTCATGTATATGACATAGGTTTTGCATTAGGACTCTGGGGGATTTTGCTTATGAAACAAAATGTGCAATCTGCTTAGTTTCCCAGTGGCAAAGCAGAAAACTAGATCTATTTGTTACAGAACTTTACGCTTCGGTTTTCCCTCATAATTACAGGTGTGCCTTTGAAGCTCACTGCAGCAAATTCAATGAGACCTTACGGTTTAAAATGAAAATAAAATATTTTTAGAATGAAGCATCATAGGTTTAAGAATAGAATATTTTAAAAACGCAAAAAACAAGAAGTTCAATGTGTGTGTTACCTGTTAATGGATTTCCCTTTTCCTTATCTCCTAAGTCCTGCTGTCCAAGATCCCTTGATTCTTTGCCTAGAATCAATGATGTCATTCAAAGGGAATGTTTGGAGGCACTGTCCTAGCTCACCCCCAGCATTTCAGATGTCATTAGCATCACTAGGAAAACAGACTTGAAACCAGGTTCAAGAAGAATAATGATCTGCATTTTGTTTTTATAGTTTGCTGTCTTCCCCTCTAGATTATCTAGTTTAAAAAGGAACTTTCATCATCCTTGAACTTCTATGTTGATCGGACATTTTGTCCCTATTATTTCCTCTTTCTTCACATTACATCAATGAGAGAGTCGAGAATAGGTGTGAAAGAAGTCAGGTTATGAGCTAACAGGATACTGGGGAGTGATACATTAACTCTAGAGGCGGTCAATTCTGTGGAAGATGCTATTGATGCTGAGTGCGTCTGCCTAGGTGGTCTCATCCAGAGCTTTCCATGCCACAAATATGCTGCTGACTCCTCAGTTGCTATTTCTTTTTATGCCTTAGATCTGTATATTCCAACCATTGCCTGACATCATGAGACTGCATGTCTAACAGTCAACCTCAAACTCTTTGTGGCTAAAAGAGGTTCTGTACTCACCTGACCCCATCTCTACCCTCCGCAGATTAGTAAATAGCACCACCATCCACTCAGCTATTTGCTGGAAATCCTTGGAGTCACCTGCATCCCTTCATCCCTTCATTTCATACCTCACCTGCAATCCATCAGCAGGTCCTGCAGCTGCACACGGTATCCCAAGCTGATGACTTCTCAGCACCTTCTGGCTGCAGCCCAGCCGAGGCATGTAGCATCATTCTCACTGGCCTCTCTGCTTCCCCCATAGCCAATCTTCGGACCACAGCTGGACACATTTTTTCAATGAGTGAAGATCAACCTACTCCCCTGCTTCAGCTCCTTTTATGTTTTCTTTTTCTCACTTAGAATGTAAGCTTCTTACCCAAGGCTACAAGGACACACAACTCAATCTTCCTCCCGTTCCCCGCTTAGCCTCTATCTCTACTAACACTCTCTGTTCCTTGACCTTCCAAATGTACCCTGTCTCAGGGATTTTGCTCTTGCTGCTTGAAATGTTCTTTGAGAAGGTCCCTGCCTTTTTTCTCAGTATTCAGGTGCCAGCTCAAATATCAGATCCTCAGAGAGTCCTTCTCAGATTATCCTAGCAGGAGCAATAATATTGTCCCTCCTCCACTCTCTGTTTCTTGTTTGTTTTGTTTTGTTTTTTGGTTTTGGTTTTGTTTTTGAGATGGAGTCTCTCTCTGTCACCCAGACTGGACTGCAGTGGGGTGATCTTGGCTCACCGCAACCTCTGCCTCCAGGATTCAAGTGATTCTCCTGCCTCAGCCTCCTGAGTAGCTGGGATTACAGGTGCACACCACTGCTCCTGGCTAATTTTTGTATTTTTAGTAGAGACAGGGTTTCACCATGTTGACCAGGCTGGTCTCAAACTCCTGACCTCAGGTGATCTGCCCACCTCAGCCTCCCAATGTGCTGGGATTATGGGTGTGAGCCACCGCACCTGGCGTCTGTCTGTTTTAATGATTATTTTCTTCTTCACGCTAAAAATTCTTCAAAATACCTGCGTGTTTATTGTCTGTCTTCCCTACTAGAATGTAAACTTCTTGCAGACATGGATTTTTGTCTTGTTCATTGTGGTGTGCCTCGCAGCTAGACAGTGCTTAGTACAACACAGGTACTCGATAAATGTTTGCTGAATTAATGAAAAAACACTAATAAGGTAGGATTTACCCTGATGATCTGGTTTTTTAAAAGCCTGCAATAAGTGTTGAATTCCACCAGGTTCAGCTACCCTTCTTCCATTTCTAGCTCATGAGGCCCAAGCCCATGTTGCCGAGCCCTGGTTCCTTCTGGTCTGTACTCTCATCATCTCCTCTGGGTCAGCACTACCTCCACCAAATACTTGTCCAGCCCCTATTATATGACAGGCATTGTTCTGAGCCTCAGGAGACAGAACTGAATAAAATGCACACAAGCATCTGCTTTCACAGAGCTTATATTCTATGTTTCGGCCCAATTCTACCTTTGTGCCACACAAACATGATAGAATCAGCTCCTCATCAGGGTGGCCTTGATGGGAATTGGTTCAGACAGTTTACCAGTTTCTCCTATTTGTCAAAAATGTAAGGAATTCCTCAACTGGATTGCTAGGTTGTCCCATAAAAGAAAAGTGAATCAGAGACTGGCCTAAGATAATGCCAGGATGGCCTTAAGAATGGAGTACAAATAGCAAAGAAATGGAATCAACCTAGGTGCCCATCAACAGTGAATTAGATAAAGAAAATGTGGTATATATACGTGTCATAGAATACTGCACAGCCATAAAAAAGAACGAAATCATGTTCTTTGCAGCAACATGGATGGAACTGGAAGCCATTATTCTAAGCCAATTAGTGCAAGAATAGAAAACCAAATAACGTGTTCTCATTTATATGAGGAAGCTAGACATTGAATACATATAGACATAAAGATGGGAACAGTAGACACTGGAGACTGCTAGATGAGGCGGGAGGGAAGAGGACATGGGCTGAAAAGTATTGTGTTGGGTACTATGCTCACTACATGGATGATGGCTCATTTGTACCCTAAACCTCAGCATCATGCAATATACCCATGTAATATACCCCTTAATCTATAATAAAAGTTGAAAATTTTTTTAAAAAAGAAAGAATGGGGCACAAGCAGGAGAACAACAAGGTCTGCTTGGCACCCACTCAGGGCCTCGCCCTGCTAGCAGCTGAGTC